AGGTTATTAAGACAAAATAACTAATTTTAAAATAATTTTTGACTTTTACTAATTTATAAAATAAAATAAACATAAAAACATTTAATTTTATTAGTCCCTAGTTGAGATTCGAACCCGGGTCTCTCGTGTAGAAGTCAGACGCCCTCTCTTTACCTCCACTGCCAGATTTAAAATTTTAGTTTTAATACTCGTAATTAAATTAGTTTCATATAGGTAGTTTGATTAAAAGTTGATGAGCTTTATAGGTACCGAATGCAAAGATATACAAGATTATTCTAAATTACTGCCAACAAATTCAGGAGGGCATTCTTTATTGAAAATTATGAGGTATCGGTCTTATAACAGAATGTTCTAAGTCCAACCCCTTAAGAAACACTCACAAATATGTGATTATAGGAGTATTTTTATTTTGGCAATAATGGCCATTATTTTATTTTAAATCTAAGATAAACGTTTATATACTTTTTTACATACCCTGTAGATTATGATATTTTAACTATTAAAAAACTTTTTACCATTTGTATTTAACTTTTTGGGATACCCTGTAAATTGAAATTTTAACTAATCAAAATAAAACATATTTCATATCATATTTTTTAATTATTCCTATCAACACTTAATATTTTGCTCCGTACATAAATTTAAAAGAAGTATAGGTACTCTCCCGTATAAATCATTATTTTTTATTTCCCCTATTTTTCCCTATTTTCAAGTGATATAGGTATAGTACTTTTTATCAAGAATATTTTTTTGTGAAAAACAAAATAAACTATTTTCCATTTGCTTACAACTTTTTGAGGTACCCTACCCTGTAGATGTTATTTTAAATAATCAAAATAAAAAAAATGAAAAAAAATATATTATTTTTATTTAAATAAATGTACAATAATTTATTACTATGAATTTAAAAATTGGATATATTTTGTTACTTTTTACATATATTATCAAAACGCTTGGCAACCGTGTATATCTATATTTAAATATTTTGATTTTATCATTAAATTTCCCGCTTTAACGTAGATAATCCGCAATTTTATATTCATTTTCATAATATTTAGCTACTACTATCTAATCAAAAGATATTTTGAAATTCTTGTCTGAAACGTCAAACGCATGGAGGAAGATCAAATCTACCTTCTCGAACAAAATTCTTACCACATTAACACAATAAATTTTAAGAGAATATCATTTTAGGTAACAAATCTGATTTTTCATTTTTTTATCACACAAGAATACGTAAAAATGTCATTCACAACTATCTAGATCCAGAGACAACCTAAATAATTATCTGGTAGATCTCTTTCATAGGCAACTTGATAAACAATTAGGTATAAACAATTTTTTCTCTGGCTTGGGAATTATCTTGGGAATTATTTACGATTGTACAAAAATATTACATATAATTAAATTATAATATGGAATGTCCAATTTATATTTAGGCATATGAAAATATAATATTTTTGATTTAAATTTAAATACAATAATTACATTTTATTGATTTAATGCTATTTTCTATTCGTGGCAATTTCTATATTTTATCACCAGTCTTGCCGTTTGTAAGTAAGTTTGTAACTAAAATTATACGGAAAATTATATTTATTAATGTACAAGGTGAAACATAATTGTCGAACAACAGTTCTTAGATACCTATTGGACATTGCTTCTTTCATTTGCTAATTCAATATACAAGGTTTACCAAAATTGTAGAACAATAGTTCTAGGGGTGATGAATATGGAACATCTAAAAAATGAGCAGAGTTTGTGGCATGAACCTATGTACAAACCGCTTATTAAGGGCACAACAAGCCCTAGAAAAGTCTTAATGATAGTGTAAATATTTTTATATATAAAAGTAAATAAGGTACATAATTTAATTGGAGGTAATAAAAATAGTGAAGTTATAATTTGTACCTTCCTGTATACAGTAGGTAAGGAAAGTATAGGATTCACGATTTTTTTCAAACTCGAGTTTTCAACTCTTCTTTACATTTTGGGGTCATCTGCATGAATCCGGTTTGATCATTTTCACGATGAAGCCTGTCTGTGTGTCTGTATCAACGATAACTTCAAAACGAATTAAGTGAAAAATAGCAAATTTTAAACTTATTAGGCTTCTATCCATCCTGAGATGAGCTTTTGGGCATAGTCGGAGCATCTGAGGGTACTTTATAAGAGGGTGATTGTTTTAATTTAAGGTAAATTTTTGGTATTCAAGAACAAATAATGCTCGTCACATCATATTCATCTCTTATATGTGTCGCTTTGGGACAGTCTGTGCACCATTTGCGCCGCCCGCGCTCATAGTCTTACATCTCGCGTCTCTCTAAATAGTAACGTAACGCCGGGACACGTAGTGTTTAGGCTGTATTTTTGCCAGATCGGCGAGTTTTGTTTATAGTTACCCAGACAGCACACATATAGTCCAACGGACGTCCACTTTAGATCCATTTAAGGGGTCAGAACGTCCATATCCGTATTCGGACATCCAGTGTACCTCCGTTTATGATCATTAATTTGACAGCTGAATATCGACCCAATAGACACAGTTTATCGGCACCATAACTGGGCCGAAGGAGGCTTGCCGGATTCGGCCCGATATACGGGTGAGGCTTCGGCATGTAGTCGCGTTCATATATCTATACAGGGTATCCCGAAATTAGACGGTCATATTTTAACAGCGTAATATACATCCTAAAATAGGAGTAAATATAAACGTAGACCCGAAATCTTTTCTTTTCCGAGATACAGGGTGTTCGAAGTGAAGTCCTGATGACACACTTTTGTGAATATTTTCTAAACGTTAAAAGATAACTAAGTGAAATTTGGTACGAATGCTTACCTTTTTACGCTCTATTTAATGGACTGAACCCCAGTTTTTGATCATCTTCATAGGTGGGTAAATTAGGGGGGCTTTAGGGTAAAATTGCTCTAAGTTTTTCTGTTGACAGTTTTTGAATATTTTTGACTATAAAATTTGGGAAACCAATGTTTTATTTATAATAAAGCTACTTTTGTTGCATCTCGCTAGGACGCACCATTTTCAAGAGAAAAGCATTTGAAAATTTTATAATAAGTTGATGTTATCTTATTCGAAAGTGTAAACAATAATTAGTAGGCCTGTGGAATCAGAAATTTAATTTTTTTTAACTTTGGAAAACCGCTGGTTAAAGAAATATTAGAAAATATTTACAAAAATGTGCCATCAGGACTTCACTTGTAACACGTTGTATCTCGAAAACGAAACGTTTTCGGACCTATGTTTATATAAACTTTTACTCCTATTTTAGGATGTAGATTACGCTCTTTAAATATGACCGTCTAATTTCGGGACACCCTGTATATAATTCGGTCCGTAAGGATGCCTCCCATGCTCGGCTAGCCATATTAACCGCGATCGGTCTGTAAGGATGCTTCCCATGTCTGGTACGCCAAATATGGACCATATACGGTTTCTACTTCTAAATTATGTCAAATGGTACGATCCTCCCGGCTCAGAAGAAACGCAGACAACGGCAATCCGAGTACTCGGCTTCCAGTACATGCCGGTGTCAGGCCGAACGAATGCCGACTATTTGTGGTTTACTGGGGATACCCAGAGGAAGTCTGTTTTTGGACTTAATTAAAATTTAGTAGTATTTTGACGTCCAGTGTGGATGTCCATCTTAAGTCATTATTTATTTAATACAATAATACCCATATAGAAGTGTATATAGATGATAGATACACTTCCTTTTTTTAATTATAATTGGTCATTAAAAATTGACAAGTTGAATCTATTGCATTTCATTTACTCAGGTCAAGCGATCTTTAATTAAAAAAAAAATAAAAAAATGGTATATAGCGGGCTGCGAAAATAATAAATAAATTATTAATAATATAAAATAGTGTTTGATCAGTTGCGATTGTGTAAAAAAAGTGGGTATGTGGTCTCAATGGAAATATAATCCTAGACGTTTTTTGAATGGAATGTTTAGTATTTGACGTCCAAATATTATCCAGAATTGGACGTCCAAATATTATCCAGAATTGGACGTCCAAATATTATCCAGAATTGGACGTTCTCTGAATGGTCAAAAGTGTGCAATTTGTATACTTCACTGGACATTCTGACAATAAAATCTTAGCGCTTGACTGGTTGAATTTTGCACTTTTTTAGTATTTTAAAAATCGAAATTATTTAACAATTTTTTCTAAATTGGAAAAAGTCGGACATAAAGAAAAACCGGTCGGACATAAAGAAAAGCCGGCTGGACATTAAGAAATCGCCAAAAAAGGAGGACATGTCCGTCTTTATCCGGACGTCTGGCAACCCTCTAAGTCTCATATGCTTTATAGAGAGTATATACTATAATTTAAACAATACTTGATGGCTAATTTAAAAAAAGTACAAAACTACTCCTCTTCGCAATTAAATAGCTATTCGTTAAAATGTGAGAAATCTCTAAATTTACATGCAAATAAGAAATCTAATGTTCTCTTTTCTACACCCACTTATGCCAGTACGTCACTGGTAGACCGGAAACGCAGTGAGATGGTTTGGTATATCTAAGGGTTGAGACATACGATGTATTCTATCTTAATACGTCAAATCATGAATATTGGATTACATTTAAATATTTTATGTCGAACAAAATACAAATATTATTTTCAAAAACCGTTTATACATTTTTTTATAAATTAGCAGGCTTGACGACTACTATTTCAAATAAAAATAGCGTCCAAGATACAAGACGATGTCGCTACCCTCTAAAAATACGAGACCTTCTCACTGGCAGCTCTGTTCGTTGGAATGCCTAATATTCTAACGCGGCATGTACGGAACTGTGTCTCTGGACCTTAACCAATTATCAACATGTATTCTCCTGTCCTGTCAATAATACGTGTTGATGATTGGTTAAGGAAAGTGTAGCCAATGACAGATATCGTTCTGTGTATGCCCAGAGACTGGTGCAATTTACACTATCGTAAGAGCACGAACAAAACATATCTATGTTCATAACCTTAAAAAGAGTTGTCAAATTTATTTAGATTATTTACAATTTAGATGCAAGACTAGAAATCACGTTTTAAAAATAGTGATCAGATTTAAAACAATGTTTAATATATCGGAATCAAAACTTCCAGAATGTTTAAAAGATGAAAATAGAATTAATGTTTTATTCGCTCCTACCAGAAGTCGTAGTGTTAATCCCAAAGACTGGGACAACAAGATATCTTCATGGAAGAATATTATAAAAGTTTATTGTGATACAAATGATGTATATACATTTACGTTTTTGTCTCTTAATAAAGCGTTTATTAGAAATGGAAGACCACCTTCCTGTTTATCAGATGTTCTAAATGAAATGAAAAAAAGTGGTGAAATTCAATCTCTGGATGAATTTTTAACAAAGAGTCCTCGAACTTGGAGTGGATGGGCAACAAATGTATTTGTCAAGAGGCCTTTCGCTTGGTCTTACAACAAATTAAAAAATTCTGTATATACGACAGATACCAAAGAACAACAATTAGTGCACTTAGAAGTTATTATATCAAAATGTAATGATTTAATCAATTCTATACCCGACAACTATAAAAAAAAGTTAATTAGCTTGAAAGAATTATTAAATATATTGAATAAAGATTCAACTAATGTTGAAGATATCAAGCTTTTACTTCATTACATGTCTAATCAAAACCTTATTGACATAACATATTTAAATAACAATAAACAAACCGAATTGGAGACAACTTTAATAAAATTTTGTGTTGGAGAAAGTGGTTTGATAACAGAACTTGATATAGGTGTTTACACATTGGAGAAAAATGAAAAAATCATCCTTAAAAGCATAGAGGAAATGGAAGATAATATACAGAGTTGTATTAAAGAAGCTAAAATGCATTTATCAAAAAATCATAGACAGATGGTGAGTAATTTACAAATGAGTGAATGAGTAGAATTGATAAAGCTAGGGATATTTCTAAAAATATCTACTCTGTTGGTAGTACTTATATTTATACCACTGTATAAATATATCACAATGCTTATATATAGTGGTTTTGGAGAATAAGTGGATAAGTAATTTTTGGGTTAAAATGAGTTAGTTACATATCCATATACAACTTTTCGAATTAAAATTTGGCAAAGTATGTTGAACTGTACATCAAAAGTTCAACTTCAATCAATTTTCCTGAAAAAGTAGCAACTCACAGCACACAAGTTTCAAACCTGGTATTTTAATAACACTACTAACAATGGATTAATTACAAAATTAATGTGGAATTTTAAAGTTTACTTAATTTATTAGTTAGTGACAGTTTTCTACCATACATACTTACAGGGCATTAGTGCGAGGGAGTTCAATATCTCTTTTATCATAAAAAATATTTTAAATAAAAAGTCCACAGGCATTTCTAATCATAAGGCCGCTAGCAAAGAAGAAAATTGCTGTTTTATAGAAAACGCATCTGAAGTGTTTAAAAGGTTTCTTATTAATTACATGACAATTTTTTAAACTAAAATTTAAAATTTATCCTGAATTCAAAATTGTTATGTAATTTTATGTTTATTTCTCAATATACAATAAATCCATTTATATATAAATATAGCAGATAAATTATATACAAAACATTGAGTAAATAGCTCAATTCATTTAAGTGTTTTCTGCTTTACTAATAAGGACAAAATATATTTAATTAACAAAAAATGTTAATTTAAATATACCTATCAAAAAGATAAAAAAAAAAACTTAAAATTAATATAAGTATAACCATTATAACATAAATAATACAAAAACAAAATAAAGGATATTATAGTATTTTAATAGTAGGTATATTTTTATTTACAGGCTAAAAGTTCATTGAGAAAGAAGCGTGATATGGAGAAGTTGTTAGAGAAAAAAGCGAATGCTTTGCACAACATTCAGACCTTACTTCAACAAATTAATGAAACACATACTAATACGTATGTATGGGAATCCTATAAGAAGGTGTTGTCAGCTTTTGACATGAATTTCAAGAATACAGGAATATCAGAAGATATGATAGATGATACAATGATTAAATTAGGAGAGGTAAGATTAATATTAGGTACCTAAATTATTAATATACAGAAGGAAAGTTATGTTTGATATTAATTATTTATTATTTTTGCTTTCACTATCTACTTATGGCACTTTTCTTAACTTTATCTCATTGTTCTCATTTCTGATTTCCTAAAGATATAATTTGTTTTAATTTGATAATGACATAAGTGTAATAGGAAAAAGTAATGTTAATAAGTTTGCAATTGAGAATATCTTTGAATGTGATTGCAAATTCAAAATCAATGGTAAATTTTATATAATTGTTTTTATAGACCATGTTTGTGGAAAAACTAGAAGAAGTTGTTTGTATCTTACTTAATGAAAGAAAACTTAATAAAAAAAAAAAACTTTCGAAATGGTTTTCGATAGTACATTACTTGTACACATTTGTTCGCCTGGTCCGTAAGGACAATATTAATATATTTCATTCGACTTAAATATGGCAATCATTTGTCCAGTCCTTATTTTCGTTTGCCTACATAAATTAGTCATTAATAAATAAAGAACTCAAAATATGAATAATTATTAATACTGGAATCATTTGTTCACACATTATTTTCGTTTGTCCAGACCTTATTTTTGTTTGTCCATACCTTATTTTTGTTTGTCCACCCAACATAAATGAGTTATTAACAAATAAAGAGCATATTTTTGATATCAGTAAATCCCAGCCTGTGTATCTCATCAGAAACCAGAACTATGTTTATCCACATCCAAACTAAGGATGACAAAGCATGGAACATATTACAAAATATATAAACATCCATAAAAATATTCAATAGTCTTCCTTGATATATTAAAACGATTAGTAAAGTAAAACAATATTGTTTATGTTTATTTTTAAAATTCTTATTTCATTTTATTTATTTGTAACATATCAAAAGCTTTATGATTTTTTATTTATTTACTTATACTATATATTATGATAAAAACTGAATATCTAAGATCAAAAAATTGTTTTTTAATTTTAAGGTACTGGATAAGAATCATGATATTCAGACTGCTATGGCAATGCCAGCTCAGGATTTGAACGAATCAGATTTAGAAGCAGAATTAGCAGATTTACTAAAAGAAGATGCACCTCATGATGATCCACCTGATGATAGTGGACTTAATACAAGTGATGTAGAAGATAAATTTAAACATCTAACACTAAATTTGCCCAAAGTTCCTGAGACTAGTCCAAATACTTCGCAAATAGATGTGGAAGTAGATAATCTAATAGATTTAAGCTCTTGATTTTATAATAATATTATGTTTGTTTCTAGATTGTTTTCTCATTTCATTAATATTCGTTGAAGTTGTTTTTTATTTATATTATTATTATAGTACTTTATTGTATTTATTTTAGAGATTTTTAATGAATAAAAATTTTAAAATATTTATTTTTTAAATAAGTAGTATCTTTGCCCTTATAAAGGTATATCAATCAATTAATTAATATGTTATGTTTATTGTCAAAGCTGCAACAACTTATAGAGAAACGCTTATAAAATACAAAATACCTTCTTTTCTCTTAAAAGATTGTCTTAATAGTATTAATATATCCCCTAAAAACCCTTTTTAATCTAGTCATTAAAACTTCAGTCTTTCCAGATGTTTGGAAAGTAGGTAAAGTCTGTCCCATATATAAATCTCTAGATCGGACTGCTATAAACAATTATAGGCCAATATCCATTCTTAATAACGCTGCAAAACTTTTAGAGGTCATCTTGTATAACCGTATCTATCTATCTGCTAAAAATCTTATATCTGTATATCAACATGGACTATGACTTCTCGTTCAACTGTTAGTAATCTGGCAGTTTTTAGTCAATATCTCTGTGAATCATTAGATAGTAGAGGACAGGTTGATGCAGTTTACACCGATTTCTTTAAGGCTTTCGATAAAATCAGTCACAAAATAATTCTGCAAAAGCTTTCTAGTTTAGGTTTTGATATTACTTGTGTACACCTTCTTAAATCATTTAACTAAGCGCAAACAATATGTTTGTTATAATGGATTTAATTCTAATTCCTTTACTTCAACTAGTGGAGTTCCTCAAGGGTCCAATTTAGGGCCACTATTGTTCTTAATATTCATTAACGATTTGTGTGACTCACTTGAATGCAATAGATTAATGTTTGCAGATGACTTAAAATTATATACCAGTATCTCTAGTACAGCTGACTGTTTAACATTGCAAAATCAAATTAACCTATTGCAGGAATTTTTTTTATGATTACAAAATTTTAAATATGGCCGCCATCTTGATTTTTTTAAATAGCAACATAGGTCATGTGATATACCATTTGAAAGGGTTTAACACCCTGATTACAAAAATGTATCACACATGGGGTCTTGTGTCAAATGCACAGCCTACTACGCTCCCTATTAATAATATCCTTTCTGTTGTGTTTAGACCCATGTGTGATACATTTTTGTAATCAGGGTGGTAAACCCTTTCAAATGGTATATCACATGACCTATATGTTGCTATTTAAAAAAATCAGGATGCTTAAAATTTTGTAATTATAAAAAAAATAATTTTTAGGCTAAAATATGCGCAAATATATTTAGTTAAAATTCTAAAATTTTGGGTTTTGTATGTTGAACCGTTTAAGCACCATATATTTGGTTCCACCTTTAACAGCACATGTTTTATTAGGATACCGTAGGTACTTAGGAAAAAACAAAATTGCGCCATTTCAAAGTTCATATTCTAATTTTCTTTGAACAGCCTGTATTTTAATACATTTTTAATAAACCCCATCCAGTATATCAATATTATAACGGCGCGCTTATAGTGTCACGTTAAGTGGTTTGTTAGGCAAACCAATTAATCGTGGGGTACGCCACTGCGTATTTCGGATCGCCCAAACGATCTTCCAGTTGAGGAAGATCTTTGCGCCACTCGAAAATACTCACTGGAGAACCTTTCTTATGATTTATTACGCTTGGCTTGGCTTTACGCTACTTGGGAAGGAATAAAAGTCACTGCATAAAAAACTACAAATCTTTAATAAATACAAACTAAAATCCCCTGAACTGTCCAGAAATCCCCAATATAATAATACACCCCAAATATACAATATATATATATATACACTATAAAGACTTTAAAGAACCAACTAGTTACTTTTCTCAGAAATACCTTTTTTATTTTATTTTATTTTTTATTAGATTTATAAAAAACCTTACCACATATTTTAACAGCAAGCTGGAATGTCACGACTTTATTTTTTATTTTTATTTTTATTGCTGTAATATAGCAGAGTATTACCTACTGCCGATTTTCGTCACAGCCGAAGAACTTATAGCCTCGGTTGTGCCAAAAATGTTGTTATTTTTTGTTTTGTCAATTTGGCTAGCTGACCCCAACATTGTTTTGAAATTGTAGAATCAGCATAACCGAATTGAGTGCATTGTTTATTTTCAACATAAAATAAAGTTTTTAATTACTAGACGAAAAGATTGTTATTGTTTTAAATAACTTTAAATGTAATATTAAACACAAATTGGAATTGAATCGAAATTAAAAAGATTGAAATAAAATTATATTTTTGGAAATGGATTTAATAAAATTTGAGTTGAAATATATTTTTGGAAAGTACTTTATTTTATCTTTAATAAAAATCTAATTATTTTTAAATGCAATTCGTGACAATAGTTTCAAAAAGGGATACAAAATTAGATGGAAAAGAAATGTTTGCATAGTTAAATGCCGTCGCATTGCAAATAATTATTTTTCTATGGTAATAATTATAGCAGCCCTCGCTCCTTATTACCGTTTCGGTAATATTGAGGGATTTTGGATTTTTTGGAATCGGAAATTTTTCGACCTCGTGCAATGTTCCTCTCCGACGCATTGTGAATCCTGAAACTACTCGGCGAACCGCTGAAAATAATTTTTTCTGAGGTATCTGTAGGGATTTTGTGGTATCGATTTAGTTCAAAATATGCACACTGATAGAGAATGCCTCGTAGATTTAATAAATTAAATGTTATTTGTGTAAATTTATAATAAAATAATTAGATGTATGTATAGTTCGTGAGAACACTAAAAAAAAATCACTACTTCATTGCTTCCGTTATTTATATTTATTCTTTATCTATGATTATTTATTATCCAAAATGGGAATATAAAATGGTGAAGCCAATAATTTTTATACCGATGGCGCCATCTATGGACGTTTCGACAAAACAACATCCTTATTTTGGCACCTCGTCTATAGATGGTGCCACCAATACAAATAGCTGGGATTCAGCTATTTTATGTAAACATAAAATCTTTTATTGAAAATGCATATGCTTCATTATATTATAAACTCTTCCACTTTATTATGAAGTGTCGCTCAGGGGCTGGTAACTCAAATGGAAAAACATGAGGACGGTAATTTAGTACCACTCCAATTAACGGGATGGCGCTCGTATCGAAATGTCATGTTAGTTGTCAGCTTGTCAACAAAACTTCAAACTTGGAAAAATTAAAATGGCTGTTGCATTTGAAGATGTATTGGATTTTGATTCATCTAGATTTATTTTTCAACACCTTCCAATTTTAAGCATGTTTTCATGAGATGGGAACATGGATTTCAGCAACGAACAATAAAGCACTCCCAGATATTGGTAGTGATGCAATTTATACCACGTATTAAATATGATGTCATATTAGGGATAACCAAACAATTTGTAATAAGTGTCTTAAGAAAAATGCATCTTGTACTGGTATCAATGGTAAGTACTATTTACAAACTTGTTTTTGATTCAGTGTTAAAATAATTGGTTTGTTATTTAAATTTCTTTTTGTTTGCAGTTTTTAAATGATCATTGTTGTAAAGAAAATGTTGGCCCTCCAAAATACCCTGTCAATTGATGAAATATTTGAGCCTCAGCCATCAATATCAAAAACTGATTCAATGTCATTGACATCAAACAAGAAAACGCCCTAAAATCTTCAAGGGTCCAAACGTGTGTAAGTTTAATTTATGCTCAAAAGTTAAATTCATTTATCACAGTGCCCACATGATGAATAAAAATTTGATGACTACAAGTGCTGTATAAATGAATCAAGAAAACAATTATCGGATGAAGAAATGCTCCTCAACCTAACTAGTTGACTCGATAACCGTATGGCAAATTTTATCCACACTCAAATTTGCCTCGATAGTAAAAAAGGATGATGCTTCAACTTCAATTTTTTTAAAACTGATTTGCCACTCCAAGTCGCAAAACTTTTATAAATGTCTTGAGCACTTATATATGCTGATTTTGTTACAGAAAACATTTTTGATAGGTTTGTGTTATAAATATTTAATTATTTAAATGGTGTAAATGCATATTTGTTTAGAGTATTTCCATGTTTAAAAAGACAAATTATATGATGCGGCGTTAATTTAGTGTAATAAAAAAAAAATAAAATAAAATGCATTTTATTTCAAGTTTGAAATTAATGCAAAAATATAATGAAGTAAAATCAAATAAAGATATAAATTGGCAAAATATTTCAAATCACAAAACAGTCAATATGGTTGTTTTATGATTTGAAACTAGTCAAATATGTTTCCAATTATTTTGCTTTATTTGATTTTCTTCATTACATTTTTGCGCTACTACAAAGTTAAATTTCAAAAAGCCCGCTCGTGGCGGCCATATTGAATTTTAGTAACACTCCAATTTGATAGATGGCAGCACATCGACTCAGAATTTTACCATTGAGATTCCCATCTATTCACATTAGTAATTATGTTATGCTAGTATTATGAAAACCAGAGATAAGGAGTCGAATTGGCATTCTCGAAATACGGTCCCAAAAAAAACGAGGGCTAATTGAGCTTTTTTAATTCACCGCAAGGACGCTGGTGTTGCTAGCGTTGTTCAAAATACATGGCTTCTTATGGGAATTTTACATCATTTTGCCAAAATAATAAAAATAAACTTGTTTGTTGCTAATTAAAGCACATAGGGGTCTATTCTGTAACACATCCGTTAAAATTTAGCAGCCCGTTAATTTTTTTAACCAAAAATGGTATTCTGTATACACAAATTTTAGAGGCCTGTTAAAAATTATTTATTTTAACGGATTCCCTTAAAAATAGCAGGATAACACTTGACAACATCACATTTAATATTTATTTGAACTAGTTTGAAAACATAACTATACAAATCCTCAATTTTCAATTCAAAACCGTTAAAAATTAAATGCCTATTTTAAAATCTCTTTAAAAATAATGATTGTTATTTGAGGACTATTTTAAAGGAATCC